TTTCATAATTCTAAAGCTGATGCATCTCTCTTTATCTACAAAGCTGATGGTGTTTCTGCTTATTTTTTTAGATTATATTGATGATTTGGTATTCACCAAGAATGACAAAATTTTTATCTCTTGGTTACTCGATCAATTGAGTTCGGTTTTCTCTTAAAGGCCTTGGTTCACTTCATTATTTTCTTGGTGTCGAAGTCCTTAGAACAACATCAATTTGTTACTTAGTCAACACAAGCATATTCATGATTTGCTGGAATTGACTAACTGCTAGATGCCGAACCAGTTCCAACTCCTTTAGCAACTCTTGTGCTTAACGATGGCTTTCCCCCTGTTGATCCAACCACGTATCCCAGTGTTATTGGGGGCCTGGTGCCTTGCAAATATCTCTGAAAAACAAGGCCTGATATAGCATTCACAGTAAACAAACAAACAAACTCAGTTCATGCATTGTCCGACTATTACTCACTGGTCTGCCGACAAGCATTTAATTCGCTATCTTAAAGGCTCCATTTTCTATGGCCTACACCTAAAATACAGCTCTGCCCTTTCTCTTACAACATTTGCTGATGCCGATTGGGTAAGTGACGAGAGAATTTTACTTGTACTTCAGTTTATCTCATTTATCTTGGGTTCCAAGTTGATCTCATGGAGCACAATCAAGCAAACAATTGTTGCTTGCTCCTCCACCGAAGCTGAGCATCTTGGCCATTGCTACTGCTGAACTAGGTCGGCTGCAATCTCTGTTAAAGTGTAGTTGGTTTGTCTTCCATGAAACCTCCAGTGATTTATTGTGATAGTCTCAGCACAACCTATTTTCGTGCCAATCCTTTCATTCGCGGATGATTACAGAAAAATGTTAGTCAATGATAGCTTTCAATTTCTCACATTTCAACCAAAGATCAATAAAGTCAGATGCGCTCATAAAGCCTCTCTCTCATCAGCGGCTGCTATTGCTACGGTCCAAGATTGGTGTCTCTGATGGGAGCACCACCTTGTTGCAAAGGATATTACCTCTCACAATAGTCACTTCTCCAAATCAAGACACAAATCCATGCATTGAGAAGAAATTATCTGCTGTACTTACTCACCAAATTTGAATTTTAACGTGCACAATCTAGCATATAATTTCTCCTTGTACGGAACATATTGCTTCTAAATGTGTGCATGTATATATGTATGTATGTAAAATTTATGAATGAAAAATATCAATTTGAAATTTTACTTTTACTATATTATGTAATTTATAAAATTTGAGGATGCATATATAGTTTTAAAATAGTGGTCATGCTTGTAAAAATGGCCACAATCACAGATAGTGTAGCTTAACCCAATAATAAAATAAGGATCACGACAATTGATGTCGTAAATATATTAACAATTATTAAAAATTTTATTCTAATTTATATATTTTTAACGGTTTTACTAATTAAGCTAGCTAAAAGTAATAACAATTCTAATAATTTAATATCATAAAAATAATTGAATTTATTACCAAAAAAAAGAAAAGTTAATAACACTTCTAATGGATTAATATCACACAAAAAATAATAAAATAATTATTTAATTTTTTTATTAGTGTTGACCATGTTTAATGGAATATTATTTTATTTCACAAAAAAGTTTTTTTTCCATTAATTTTTTTATGATATAAATTTATTTTTTTCCTTTCTTATTTTTTAAAATCAAAAGGAAAATAAATTATAAAATAACATAAAACAGACAAAATGCCTAAATAATTGCTTTTTGAAACAATACAGACTAACTAATTTATTTTTCAAACTAAAGGGACTAATTTATAATTTACTCAGTTAAAGCATGCATTCCAGCACGTCTTTGAATTTCGTACACGCAAACCTGAAATTTGGATGGATAATAGAGAATAAATTATACATTAGTCCCTTTAGTTTTGATAAATTAATTAATTAGTTTTTTTAATTAATTATTTAATCTTTTGATGAGTGTTGATCATATTTAATATAATATTATTTTATTTTATAAAAAAAAATTCATCAATCTTGTCATGATATATATATATATATATATATATATATAAAGCAAAACAAATTAGAAAATAATGTAAAATGGACTAAATAATTGATTTTTAAAACAATAAGGACTGACTAATTTATTTTTCCAACTAAAGAGACTAATTTATAATCTATTCAATTAAAGTTTGCATTCCTCCAGCGTTTGATTGTGAATGTCACGTGGATATATTTCAATTTAGTGGACGTTTGCTTTCTTTGCTCGTCTAATCGTCTTTCTCTCAGCATTTCACATCCTGCTCATCTAATGGTCTCTCTGCTTCACATCCTCCTTTCTTCGTCCCTTCCAACTTTTCTACTCCTCGATTCACACCTCGTTTTCTTCCTCTTTTTATCTTTGATTGTCAACTAAGTATTTTGTAAGTCTCTTTTTTTTTTTCCTGGTGTTATTTGCACATCTTTTGCATTGGTGATTAATTAAGGTAGAATTTCAATTTTTTTTAATCTATAATGTTGTTATATAACCATAAATAACAAAATTACATAATGATAATGTCTTTATTTGTAATTATACCTATGAAATGGCATGAAAATACCCATAATGGTAATGAAATGCTTTGTTGTCATTAGACAAGGATAATTACGTTGTATAACGATCGTTATTTAAAACTATATGAGGATGTTAAATGTTACTTTCATCAAATCAAATTAAAGGATATTATGAATAATTTACCTCTTTTTTTTCCTATCTTTTATCCAAAATTCAAAATTTGCTTATCCTTATAAATAATCTTGTCTTGTGGTATCCAATTCCATTGGTTCCCGAAAAGAAATCTTAGAAAAAGAAGACAAGAAGGATAATGAGCTAATCCGCGCATATGGCTCAAATAGTTCTTCAACCATGATTCGTGCTTTAGCAATGTTTCCACGTCTATGGACTTTTTTTTATCATCTTCTTTTTCTTTACTAGGACTTAAAGCGGGGCTAATTCAATCTTTTCCCATGGTGCTTCCACATACTCATGATACTCACTCTGTAAATGTCAGTGCTGATCATGTGGTTTACTGGATTAGAAAAGTTCTACCAATGTGCTTACTTGAGGGTTATCCATTAATAAAAGTAGCCGATCATTATTAGCTTGAAAATGTTTTCGTAGTACAAGAAATTTACCATTGGCCTAACCCTTTTGCCTTGTTAATTATCAACGACTAGATATGGAAGTCAAGCAACCAGCCAAAGTCATCAACAGGGGTCAATCCTTGAGAGGTGAAAAAAACCACTCTGGAAATTTAAGTTGCGTGCTCAAAAAAACGTGTGCAACTATGTCTTAGAAGTTTGTTCCTTTCATATTTCTGAAAATTCACTCCCTTTGACTCACAAACATCGATCTTTTCAACAAAATTAAGAATTGTGCACGCAAGAAAAATTTAATTTACATGGCATATTTCAACAACCTAATGTTAATTAATGGTTCTCATTGCTCTAGAAACTATGACTAATTAATGGAGTATTTTGAGAAGTAGGTGAATTTAGTTTTCTTGTTTTCTTTAATTAAGGGGAACCATTCGATTTCCCACCAAACTAATGAGCTGTGCTTTGCATGAATCGCATCCCCATATTTATAAATAACGATTAAAGCAGTTGGTTTAATAAATTTTTTTCTTATGGATAAAACGAATATCATGGCTGGTTCTAATTTCAAACAAATGAAGATTAAATTAAGGTGCGTAAGTGAAATAGAAAAAAGGACAGAAACAAAACAATATGATATTGGTGAGGTATCTATAGGTATTACATCACATCTGATAAATTTTGTTCATCTGTATCATGATCAACAAGCATATTCAATATTTTCACATTGGAATTCAAGGGAGTGAAGGGTGATTTCAACACGGTAAACGAATATTTTAGAAAATTTCACCTGCCCAGCAAGTAATGAGAAAACATTTTGTTCACAAGTAAAACACTTTATTCGATTTGAGAGCAAGACTAACTAGCTAGGCATGGAAGATTTTTATTCATTTCACACAGTCCTCTTCATTGTTTTTCTTGACCTTCGCTTTCACAAGTTGAAAACAAATAAACTGGAACGATGTTCATAAAGACTAATTGCGTGCACTATGGCCAAAAAAAGAAGAAAGTTTCCACGAAGACTTAGACCAAGGAAATACCATGCAATCTTAAATCTTCATTTCCACAAGTCATCCTCCCTACACCCCACACCCCACATCAAATTAATTAGAGAAGAAGAGAAAGTTAGTTTGGATACATAACTTTCCTAATGGATAACTAATTGGCATAAAGTGGCACATGCTATCTTTTTAAACTCCGTAATGGAGTTTGTAGGTTTATGTAGATGGGAGACAAGAAACAAAAGTTTTTTAATGAATTTTCTTTCAGTGCTCCAAAAGAATGCAAAAATCACATCAAGCTATAAGGACATTTTTTGGCTGCAAAAATGATAAAGATTCGTCACATTATATAATATTGAATCATTAAAGTGTCGCTTTAATTTCAGATTCAGTACAATTACCTATAATTTTGCTTATTGTTAGCATCATCTACCTGTTAATTTATTATATTGTGAGAGTGTTTGATATTATAATGCATGATATATATTTCTTTCAACTAACAATTATTTGCAAGTTTGTATGATTTAAGTGAGCGTATTGAATGTTATGTGTCTGCATTTGTTTGATTGTTAAACATATATTAATAATTGTACATACATACTTAATTTACACAGTTATGTATGTAATTAAGTTATTTTAGTATAAGTTTTTTTAATAAATATATAATGAAAATAACTACCTCTCTTGTGGAATCCAAAAATTTATTCGTCTGGTATGAATAAAAAAATTAATAATTATGATGATGCTTTCAATTATTTCTATATGTATATCCACATCAGAAGTACTAAAATCATTTCATTAAGGAAAAAAAAAAACTCATTCTATTCACATTCATGACATCAAACATTTCCATCTCGTACCAGCACAACCACCCAAACTCAAACTAACTAACCAATAATTGCTCGGCAACTGGCATTAACCCCGTATGGTGTCCAACCTGAAACACATTATATCCCCTCTCCCTTTCCAACTCAGCTTCATTAGCCACCAACATTTTCCTCATCTTAGCCGAGCCACTGCCCACGGCACTCAAACCCGTCTCTGGCTCTCGACGCTTAGTCGTGATCCTAACCGGGTCCGGCTCATTAGACCCAATCTTATGAGGAAAATTAAGCAAAGCCTTGGAGCCACGCATTCTATAAGCCGCTCTATCATAAGCCAAAGCCGCTTCCTCCCCCGTCTCGTAAGTCCCAAGCCACACTCTCGCGCCATTCTTAGCCGGGTCCCTTATCTCAGCCGCAAACTTACCCCAAGGCCTTTGCCTCACTCCTCTATAATGTCTTCCCTTTGTCACCACCTTCTTAGTAACAACAGCTTCAATATTTAAGACAGCTTCTTGAACAAATTTAATGGGCTCGGCTTCCGGCTCCAGCTCATCTTTTGGCTCGGCTTTAACGACATTAGTTGCTCTTGGTGTTGTTGTAGAAGTAGAAGCAGCAGGAGTAGTTGAAGTAGCCAAGTCTAATGGAGACCATCCAAAACTAACAGCATCTCTAAGGAAATTGTAAATGACCATATCTTCAGAATCATCAACTTTTAATGGCAAGTCACCCCAGGTCTCGGTTAAGCAAGAAATGAGAGAATTAAAGCTTGGACTTCTATGCTGATGATGATGATGATGAGACAAACTACTAAACTCAATATTCATTTCTTCTTCTTCTTTTTTTGAGTAGTTAGATTAAGGTTGAAGCCAGCAGGTGTATATGTTTTGTCGTGTTAGTTGTTGGAAGAGAAGAATGGAATTGCAAAGTTTTTGTTGGAGTAGGAGAAGAGAAGAGATGAAAAGAATGATGGAATCCAATTAAGAAGAAGATGAAGGACGTAATAATTAAGGGGTGGTAGATATATATATGGAGTTGGATGTAGATGTAGATATAGAGGGAGGTAGGGAGGGAGGGAGAGATGATGATGAATGGCCCAGTTGGTGATGATATTTTTCACATTTTAATTTAATTATTTTATTGTCAGTGCCCAACGTGCAATTGCTTTTTTTGGGTTTCGATGAAATTTCAATGCACAAGTGGGCAAATGGAGAAGGGTTGTTGTCCATGGGTTGATAATGCGGGAGTGTGATATCATCACCTTATGTCATCCATTCGCGATGACCCATCTGAGAAGGCATCTAGTAGAAGAATATCTGTGTTTACATGTGGGTGACGCGGAGGTGGTTTTGTCCCGATCATAGTTTCACGAGTAAATTATTAATTAGTCCCTCTTGTTTACAAAAACGAATTAATTAGTTTTTTAAAAAATTAATTATTTAATCTTTTATATTTTAATTCATTCAATAATTTAGTTTTTTTTATTTTTTATTAGATTAGATCCTTTTATTTCTAAATCATCTTTTATTTAATTTTTAATTAAAAAAAAAGTGTGTGGAAAAAAATAAGACATCAAAAGAAAGACAATTTGAAAAATTAAATTACTAATTTAATAAAAAAATGATAAAAAAATAAATTAATAATAAAATTAAAATATAAAAAAAATTAAATAATTAGTTTTTAAAAAGAAAATCCATTTGCAGAAACAAAAGAGACTTATTTATAATTTACTCATAGTTTCCCATAGAAGTATAAAGAAATGAACTTGATAAGGAAAAATAAAGTTTTTGTTAAAAGAAAAATCAACTACTAAATTGTTGATATAATTTGTGGGTCACTTATTAATCCTTTTATCAAGTTTGTTTCCGTTGATTGGTAAATAGATTTATTTTTCATATATATATATATATATATATATCATGAGAATAGATGCGAAAATAATACGGTGAATAAAACTAGGATTAGTCTCTTATCAATTGGTTTTGTTTGAATGATTAAGAATTATGTCGGTAAAATGTGCATCCATCTCGATTGTGGAAGCTAGATCACAAGCTGCCGCAGCAAACAATTTAATATAGGAGAACGGGAATCCAGTACATGATCATGTGCCGAATTTCTATAATTTAATAGGATTCTTATGGTATAATATGCAACTTGCATAAAATGAAATCCTCATTATCTTTTTTATTTGTATTTTTAATTGTTGGTGATTAATTATTTATTATTATCAAACAAAGCTAAGCAGATGCCCAATATTGTCCATTTGTATCATTGAGGTTTCTAAAATATATAGTTTACGTAAATAATATATATATTACATTTGGGAGCATTGATAGGTCGGCGTAATTCTTGTTTCCATTAGCCATTAGGGCTGTCCAGTGCAAGGTAGGTTCCTCGTTGCATATTTTCAACTCCTAAACCAGATTCAAGAGGCAAAACAGAACCTCTTCTCCCCTCTCCCCACTAGATTCAAGAGGCAACGTAGTTAATTACAAGGCACTTCAAATTTTGAAAATTTCATCTGCTCTGTAGTATATTAATGCATGACTGGCACATGTACATTTTACAAGACAGCAAATTGGGCTTTAGCATTGTGAGAGAAATTAAATCTGGATTGTGTATCTAATAAAAAAAAAAAAAAATCTAGTGATCAATTCGATTGATGTCAAAGATCGACACCCAATCGGTCAAATTTAGCCAAATCTAATTGGTTAGATCAGTCTTGTCAAACATTGATTCAGTTTTAAAAAATAAAATAAAAAGAATTGTAGTTACGAACTGGATATCTTCACAATTTAAACTTATACACTAATCATTTTATTATTTATTTATACTTCATGTGTAACAAAATATTGTTAGAGGTTCACATGGGACAATTCTTTGATAAATTACATATGCTGAATGGGAACTTTTAAGGTGATCTCTTTTTGGTTTTTAAGATAAGTTATGGGTTGTAGCATAAATAGAAATGAGGTCTGGCTTAGTTTTATATGCTGGTACGGTAGAATCCAAAAAGAATAACAATACTGGTATTCTTTCTAGAATACCATGTGAAGGGTGTTTTTTATTTTTTATTTTTTTGCTTTGAATCCGTGAGGGAGAGACACAAGAGGGTTATGAGAGCAAACACAAACGTAATAAAGTTGTGAGAGAGTGTGCGAGATTCTTAAACACAAAAGTTATATCCATTTGTATCCTAGAAATTTAGAGGATTTGTAGAGTGCCTATGCACGGGGGATGTAGCCATTGTTGGGTGAACCTCATTAACAAATTCTGATGTCTTTCATGTTTATCTCACTGCATAAGTTTTGCTTATTATTGCTTTATTGTATTCTGAGTTTATAACAATTGGTATTAAAACTTAGCTTGACATACAATAATAAGGCAAACAAAATGATAGATGATAAAACTCAAACTAACAAATTTGACGAATAAGATTTCAGATGGTGGAAACTTCAGATTGAGGATTACTTTTCCAAAAAGATCAATATGAGCCAATTACAGGACCTACATTTGAAACAGATGAGGAAAATCCTTTTGCTATTGAAAAGTGAAAAATTCTCGATCGAAAGGCGTATGCTGCGACTCATCTCAGCCTGACAAAAAAGACAAGATTCCATATTTCAAAGACTGCTAAAGAGGCCATGGATATTCTAGTAAACATCTATGAGAAGCCTTCCGCTTCTAATCAAATTTTTTATTGAAAAAATTAGTCAACATGATGTTATTTGATAGAGGTTTTATAGCAAAACATGTAATGTTATCTGATAGATGTTTTATAGCAAAACATGTAAATTGCTACACTTAGGTTATAAATCAAATGGATTATACAGGCATGGTACTGGATAATAAACTTTAGGCCTTATTGTTCTTATGCTCGCTTATAGACAGCTCCAACACTGCAGTGCAATGGACTTCAAGTTCCATGAAATATGATCCGAGTTTGAATGATGTTGTTAACAAAATCATAGATGAAGAAATAAGGAGAAAAATCTCAGGCAAAGATGACAGTTCAACATCAACTGCTTCTACAATATTAATGATAGAAAAACATAGTAAAAGTAAGTACAAAGGCAAATATGATGGACGTGACAGATCAAAGTCAAGAGGGATAAATGAGCTAGCAAATTAAAAGTGTTGGTTTCATCATAAAATTAGACACCGGAGACATCAATGTGAAAATTACAAAAGACGATAGCAAGAAGAAGGCCAAAGAGCTAATTTGGTTACTGATGAGCTCTTGCTAGATGATATGTGTTTATCTACTAGGAACAATTTAGCAATAGACGAGTGGTTTGTGGATTCAGGAGCTTCTTTTCATTATACCTATCATAAACACATGTTTTATGTGAAGGATCATGCATCCTATGGAAGTGTAAAATAAAAAAAAATATTCTTCATCTAAAGGGCTCAATGATCATGTTGTTGAATCAACTAACTATATATTCATGAATTAAAATAATAAATAGAGAATTTACTTCTTGTAGCATAGATATAAACCTTTATAGAAAAAAGTCATCCAAGTATCCAACCTCTATCGATAATCCATGTAGTCCAAACACCCACAAAACAAGCACTCAAAATTGGTAGGGTGCTAGCTCCACCTTTCTTGACTTGTTTAGTGTTTTCTATAAAAATCTAATCATGAAAATTTTGCAATAACCCAAAAAGAGAGAGAAGAAAGGTGGCGTGATAGGGTTTAGGAGAAAACTTCGAGCCTTATTATTCTTATGCATAGTATTGGATGATAAACTTCATTTATGATTCTACGAGTATAGTACTCGGATGATAAACTTCAAGCCTTATTGTTCTTATACTCACTTTTAGAAAACTACAACATCACAATAAAAAGGATTTCAAGTTCCATGAAAGATGATTTAACTTTGAATGATGTTGTTAGCAAAATCATAAATGAAGAAATAAGGAGAAAAACTTCGAGCAAAGATGACGAGTTCAACATCAAATGCTTTTACAGTATTGATGATAGAAAAAAATAGTAAAGGCTAGTGCAAAGGCAAATACGATGGACGTGGCAAATCAAAGTCAAGAGGGATAAATGAGCTAGCAAATGAGGAGTGTTAGTTTCATCATAAAATTGGACATCGGAGACATCAATATGAAAATTACAAAAGAAAATAGCAAGAAAAAGGCCAAATAGATAATGTGGTTAGTGATGAGCTCTTGCTAAATGATATGTGATTATCTACTAGGAAAAATTAAGCAATAGACGAATGGTTTATGGATTCAAGAGCTTTTTTCATTACACCTATCATAAAGACATGTTTTATGTGAAGGACCTTACATCTTATGGAGGTGTGAATAAAAAAAATTTCTCCATCTAAAAGTCCTAATGATTATGTCATTGAATCTACTAACCATATATTCATGAATTAAAATAATGAATAGAGAATTTACCTTTTGTAGTGCGGATATAAACCTTTTCGTAAAAGAGCTATCGAAGTGTCCGGCCTCTATCGATAATCCACGTAGTCCAAGCACCCACAAAAGAAGCACTCAAAATCGGTAGGGTGTTAGCTCTACCTTTTTTGACTTGTTTAGTGTTTCTTATAGAAATCTAATGTGAATTTATATGAAGCAAGAAATATTGATTGTATTGTCGTTACCTCTACTAGTATTACAACTTACATATATATAACTATATATAGCATCTAAACTAGGAAATTAAAGCTATAAATCTTCCTAAACTCATTGATTAGAGCCTTAAATTCCTATATTTACATCCTAAAATACACCTGAATATTCTAAATAAAATATTTCCTATTTCAACACTCCCCTTCAAGTCGGCTTGTAAATGTCTTCCATTGCC